ACTATGCAAGGCGCGATTTGCTTAATTAGCCAAGTTTTCTTGTTTTTCTATTTTTTTTTCTTATGAAATAATATATCTGTCCATTTCATTATGTATAGATTAGAGTGGTTAAATTTGAGTTAAAACTAACGTAGATATATGACCAAACCTAACCAACCCTACCTAACCTAACCTAACCTATCTTAACCTAACCTAAACTAACACAACTTAGTGAATAAATTATGTTCCTAGTATAATATAATAATAATAAGAATGTACTCACCTAATTGTGCTTGCGGGGGTTGAGCTCTGGCTCTTTGGTCCCGCCTCTCAACCGTCAATCAACCGGTGTACAGATTCCTGAGCCTTCTGGGCTCTATCATATCTACACTTGAAACTGTGTATGGAGTCAGCCTCCACCACATCACTGCCTAATGCATTCCATTTGTCAACCACTCTGACACTAAAAAAGTTCTTTCTAATATCTCTGTGGCTCATTTGGGCACTCAGTTTCCACCTGTGTCCCCTAGTGCGTGTGCCCCTTGTGTTAAATAGCCTGTCTTTATCTACCCTATCAATTCCCTTGAGAATCTTGAATGTGGTGATCATGTCCCCCCTAACTCTTCTGTCTTCCAGCGAAGTGAGGTTTAATTCCCGTAGTCTCTCCTCGTAGCTCATACCTCTCAGCTCGGGTACTAGTCTGGTGGCAAACCTTTGAACCTTTTCCAGTTTGGTCTTATCCTTGACTAGATATGGACTCCATGCTGGGGCTGCATACTCCAGGATTGGCCTGACATATGTGGTATACAAAGTTCTGAATGATTCCTTACACAAGTTTCTGAATGTCGTTCTTATGTTGGCCAGCCTGGCATATGCCGCTGATGTTATCCTCTTGATATGGGCTGCAGGAGACAGGTCTGGCGTGATATCAACCCCCAAGTCTTTTTCTTTTTCTGACTCTTGAAGTATTTCATCTCCCAGATGATACCTTGTATCTGGCCTCCTGCTCCCTACACCTATCTTCATTACATTACATTTGCTTGGGTTAAACTCTAACAACCATTTGTTTGACCATTCCTTCAGCTTGTCTAGGTCTTCTTGAATCCTCAAGCAGTCCTCCTCTGTCTTACTCCTCATAATTTTGGCATCGTCCGCAAACATTGAGAGAAATGAATCTATACCCTCCGGGAGATCATTTACAAGTAAATGAAACATTAATGTCAGTAAACAAGATTGGACCGAGTACAGAGCCCTGTGGGACTCCACTGGTGACTTCACGCCAATCTGAGGTCTCACCCCTCACCGTAACTCTCTGCTTCCTATTGCTCAGGTACTCCCTTATCCACTGGAGCACCTTACCAGCTTCTTGATGTGGTGGCTTAGAAAGTTTCTTGTTGCCACGTCCAGCAGCTTAGCTCTCCATGTTTCTGGTCCTCCATGCGGGTCTCTGTTCTCCCAATCTATCTTCCTATGGTTGAAGTCTCCCATGATTAGTAGTCCAGATCCATTCCTGTTAGCAACAGAAGCTGCTCTCTCTATTATGTTAATGGTGGCCATGTTGTTTCTATCATATTCCTGTCTGGGTATTCTGTCATTTGGTGGTGGATTATATATGACTACGACTATAATTTTTTGTCCTCCAGTTGTTATGGTACCTGTTATGTAGTCACTGAAACCTTCACATCCCTGAATAACCATCTCAAAATCCCAGCCTTTTCTTACCAGCAGAGCTACACCACCCCACCTCTTCCTTCTCTCTCTTTCCTCATAACATAATAGTCCTGTGGGAACACTGCATTTGTTATGGTTTTCGTTAGCTTTGTTTCTGTGAGAGCTATTATGTCTGGGTTTTCCTCTAGTACCCATTCTCCAAGCTCATTTGCTTTGTTTGTTATGTGTGTTATGTGTGTGTGTGTGTGTGTGTGTGTGTGTGTGTGTGTGTGTGTGTGTGTGTGTGTGTGTGTGTGTGTGTGTGTGTGTGTGTGTCTGTGCGTGCGCGCAACATTACAGAGGTGAAAGAGGCTAGCAGCACCCACCCACTTTACATCACTGGCACTGATGTCTTGGCACAGTGCCGCTGGGTAGAGAGACGCCTGCACTTGATCCGTCTCCACGTACGGTGCTCCGTCCCTCCCACACCCTCACTGTTACAGTGACACCAGCCTCACTCTCCCACACTCCCTGAACACTACACAATAATACCACCATCATCCCGGAACAGTACTATCATTTCAGCAGTGCCGCAATCCCAGCAGAGTGCCACTATAAGAGCAGAACACCTCGACACTAACAGTGCCATGACCCAAGTGGAGGTGCCAGACACTCCCCAATAGAGGGTTGTGCCTACTCCAGTTCAGCCATGAACTGATTCACAAGTGACTTCAATATAACCCAAGCTGGCACCATGCACCCCTCCCCCACTCCCCCCTTGCCTTACTTACCTCACTTAATGTCTTCCTCTCTAACACCTGTTACTGGTGCCAAGGCCCCGTGCCAGGCACCCCACATGAAACATATTTACCCTCATCAACACTGCCACTGGCACCCGCACGTGACACTAGTGCCACCAGTACTGTCCTCACACTGCCAGCAACACACTACACAGGAAACAAAAGCATTGCCTAAAAATACACAGTGTATATACAGGTTAATCTGGATTTAAAAAATAACAGCTCTACTGTCCCTCCGTCCCATCCCAGATCCTTATTCTGATCCCTTCCCAGTGCTATATAGTCGTAATGGCTTGGCTCTTTCCCCCCTGATAGTTCCCTCCCTCTCCCTCTACTGTTTCTAGCCCAGGAAGAGTATTAAGAACACCCTTGTTCTGACCATAACAGGTGCATCAGGGTGAAAGAAACTCGGCCCATTTGTTTCCGCCTCCAACGGGGATCGAACCCAGAACCTCAGGACTACGAAACCGAAGCGCTGTCCACTCAGCTGTCAGCCCCCCCCCCCCCCCCAGGTGCTCGTAATCCTCCCTATCATTATCCTTTCTGATGGTATATTTGCCTGGTTATGCTCCCTAAACGTCCGGTCATTAGACACCACTATTCCCTGATCCTCTACCTGTTATCTATGGGGAGATCTGTGTCTTACACTCTGTATTTCGTTACAGTTCTTCATTTTTAGCACACCAATCTATCACTATCACTGTTTCTGTCACTATCACGTGAGTAACCGTCAGGCTGATTTGTGTATCCTCCACACAGGGCGACACGAAGCTGTGACTTGTACTATTTTTGTTTATATCTGATATGAGAACGAGAACAAGGAGTGGAGCAAGGACTGTGCCCTGGGGTACAGTGTTTCTCATTGTACATGAACCATTACCCTGACCCATTATCATCACATATTACCACTATTACCTCCATTATCAAACCTGTACTACCATTATTTATTTTATCCTCAAATATATTTAGGGAAAAGGGGCAATTAACTGGAATTTTATCGAGTCAGACAAATTAACACAAGTTAATGTAACATCCGCAACCAAGTTAACAAAGGGGCACTCTGTCGACCTGAGGCACCTTGTATAGTGAAGCCTGGGGGGGAAGGGGTGTTGCCCACGGGGTACATACACTGTGAGGGCGAGGACTGTCTGTAGGGCCTGGGGACGAGTAAAGACACATTGGGGTGTAGGAACACAACAGAAAACGCGAAACATTAGCTACTACTGGAAACTGCAAATTGCAACAAAGGTCTGCCGCTCAGGAGGAAGAGAAGAGTAGTCCGACACATGAGGAGCCCCGTAGTAGCAGCCCCGTGTACACCCTGAGGCTCACCTGTGTACGTACCTGTATCAGAGTACCTGCTGCAGTCCTGGAGCTCGTTGAGGGGGATGAGCGCCACCCCGTTGGAGAGTCGCTGCCGCATCTCAACCCGAGCCGCCACAACCACAGTTATGGTCAGTTGAGAGGACAAGGAGTCCTGCCACGGTAGTCCTCGGTTACCACCAGGGCCAGCACCACCGGGGCCAGCACCACCAGGGCCAACACCACCAGGGCCAGCACCACCACCGCCCCTCTACACCCACCACCCGCCTCTGGCGCGCCCAGCTCCGCCGTCTGCACACATGGTCGCCGCTCAAGTTCTCCTCGAGGGTTGTAAAGCAACAACTACCACATTATTGTGCGCGATGATGTCACGCGGGGAGATACGTTGACAGATGGACCGCAACTGTGGAACCTGGATATTCCTGTGTATGGCGGTACGGTCCGGCGTGTGGCTGCGCTTACTTGTGTATCTCAGTACTTGCAAGCGCACGTGTGTAACTGCTTGTATCTAGCCGTGTTTGCTTGCATCCGCGGCACGGACGCCACTGAGGGGTGAGCAATAAAGACCGACAGAGCAGCGAGGTGACACACCATCACTACTTACTCACCACCATCACCACGTGACTCATTATACTGTGCTTAACTAATCTGGTGTTTCTGTAATAGTTCAGTGAACACAACGACAGGTCCTTGTACACCAGACCCCAGTACATCCTTCACAGCCCCGTCGTGCTCTTATGAATCGTGAGGCTTCAAGCACAGTCACATCAAAACAGTTGTGCCAAGTCGGTTAGTTTATCCATCTCTTGGGAGCCACATCACTGGCCGTAACTTGTCACACGCCCACACTCTTGCACCCTTACCGGTACAGCACTGAACCTCTACACACCACTCAATATCTCCCCACACACACTACTCTAATTTCCACTGACATCACGTACTTTCCACGGACCCAACTGCAGCCTCCTACAGACACCACTGTAACTAGATGCTCTAGTGGCACACACCAGTGACACCTGGCTCCACCTGTGTACTGTGGCACACACCTGCAGCATTAACCAGACTCCGCTGAGTGACACGATCAAGCCACGAACCTGACACCACGTTCACAGTTCCTTGACAAAACCTGTCATTTCCTTCAGCTCAAATATACAAATTCCTTCATGGGTATATTGTTCACTTTTCTTCGTCAATTTCTTAACTGATTTTCAATATGTAACGTATATGTAAATTTTCGACAAATATTTCCTGAAAAAAATATAAACGCAATAAGTTTTAGAAATCCTAATACAATAACATCGCTCATCCTCTCCTGTACCTCTTGCAACAAAGAGAATATTATTAGCATGTTATAATTTGTTAACCATATCTTACTCTGTGTGTGTGTATTCACCTAGTTGTGCTTGCGGGGGTTGAGCTCTGGCTCTTTGGTCCCGCTTCTCAACCGTCAATCAACTGGTGTGTGTGTGTGTGTGTGTGTGTGTGTGTGTGTGTGTGTGTGTGTGTGTGAGATAATGCTTTGTGTGCGCTTTTGTCCGAGGCTATTGAGTACCCGGCTGCGCTCGGGACTCTCAGCTCTTTCCGTCTCCCTCTTACTCAATCTCCCTCCCTCTCTCTCTCTCTCTTACTTCACCTCTCTTTCCCTCTCTCTTGTATGTTGCTGAATATGAGAATGAGTTAGATCAATGATTCGTGCAAAAATCCTCTCTATATTGATTATTCTCTTCTTCACTTGACAAGGAAGGTGAAGAATTGAACATGAAAACAAATCCCAGAACAGCTGGAGCGTCTCGCTCTATCCCAAGACCAACGCGGAAGGCTCTGTAGAGTAACACCAGCGATCCAGCGAAAACTGCAACCCGCCAAACACACACCGAAACTACGACGTTGGTACAACGTTCGAACAAGTTTTAACACTTCCTAACTAGTTACAACAACCAATATAACAAGTTGTAACAACGTTCTAATACATCATAAACACGTTAAGCCAAGATGTAACAACCTTATTGCAAGTTGTAACAAGCAAAAAATAGAGACAGTTTCGGTTTGTGTTTCCAGCGAAGTCACATCAAATCAAGGAGAGTAAAAAAAAAAAAGAGCAGAATACCATAGAGGAACCCAAACTACTACTTCACCTCAGCAAAATGTAGAACGAGAACTGCATTTAGCGTTGGACCCTTGCGTAAAGAAATGGGTTATCAACCGAGGACAAAATATAATTCTGTTTTCAGCGAACTCTTGAACACACTGAAGATCGATAATCCAAACGAATTCTTTATGAAAGTGACACCAACATCGAGCCATGCATCAGATATCACCTTAACCCCACTGGATGTTGAAATTTCCACAGACACAGATTTCCACAGATTCCTGGAATTCTGTATTCACCAAAGAATCGCAAATTACTACTGGCATGGGCTCTAACCGTCACTCAGAGACGGAGCCCCAATACTGTGGTGTTGTCCAGGAAACAGTTACAACATCGGACATCAATTCATAGAATTACCCAACGCTACCAAATGCTTCACGGAGCCTCCTTAAATTAAATATTAAGTCTCTGTCCCTCTCGACTCTCTCCCACTCACCCTCTCTTCCACCCTCTCCACCATTCTCCTCTCCCCCCCACCACCACCAGTCCTTATTCTCACCCTCACACCTCTCCACCTTCTCTCCAAATTTCCCCTCCCTCTCACCTGTTCTTCTTCCCCAGTCTCCACGTTCTCCCCCATTCTCTTCAAACATCCCTTTCTCTCCTTCTCCTTCCTTCCTTCCTTCTCTCCCTATATGTCTGTCTGTATGTTTTTGTCTTCCTGTCTCTCTCTTTGCTCTGATTGACACACTGCAAACCTATCTTTGTCTGTCTGTCTGTATCTGTTTGTTTGTCTGCATCTGTATGTCTGTCTGTGTCTCTTCACTTTCTTTCTGTCTTTTAAAAATAACATAATAGCTTTCCATTGGTGTGTGGGTGGTCTGCCGGTGGGAGAAGCCTAACAATGTGAAATATTCCTTAGAAATAGTTTTCCTTATGTAGACAGAGAATAATGATTAGACAATTTTTGTTCATTTTCCCAAGATCAGTGTATAATTTTGAATATTATTATAAGAAAAAATAGTTTTAAATGTTTAATTTTCAAATATTTAGCCAGGCTTAGCTGGAGGCAATGCCAGCATCAGTGATCGGGGTCTGTATGTGACCATGGCAAACTGTTTCCTCTTGAATTCTGGTGACCCCATACCAGCCTTTGTACGTCTCGTACCCCAGACCATTCCCCCTGCAAAGTTGGGCGAGCCTGGCCCCAAGTATCTGGCCTCCAACCTTGGACAGACATTCTTTTATATAGATAGATAAGGACACGCAATAGTAACGTATGATCACCACAGACGAACATGGTGTGGATAATCTTCCTGCCACAAGTCAACACACACACACACACACACACACACACACACACACACACACACACACACACACACACACACACACACACACACACACACACACAACCAAAATCAAACACCAGGATGAAGACAAAGCACTCAAGAACAGAAAGTGTAGGGCAACAGACCCCCCACACAGAGAGCCTAGCCATCCAGTTGGATTCGTAATGTGTAAGAACACACTATCCCATAGTCTGGGTTTTGTTTACTTTTCCTACACATGATTGTGTGCAAGGGCGTCTCTGAGGTGCCTCATTCACTTGAAGCTAGCACATGGGGTCAAGGCACGAGTCGAGGGCCCGTTTACCCGAGGTGAGCAGCCTGGCAGCTTTCCTCTAACTATCGGGCACATCACAGGTGGTCGACACCAACGACTATTCCCTTCCAAGCCACTATTAACGCACCCCCGCGGGCCACACAAGGCATCTGGCATTTCAACAACAAGCATCTTTATCACTATCTTTCTCTGGCACAAAGTTTTCTTGTCACCATCTACCAAATGGCACTTCCAACGGGATGGAACTGTTAGCCCGCTTAATCGCATTATCTCTCAAGTGACACTACCTTCGTAACGACTTAATATCCTTCCCCCCCCCCCACTGGCACCACATCTTAAATGGCAGTATCCATCAACTCCCCCAACACCCCTCCCACCCCCGCCCCTTATCTGTTGTAGTGTTGAATGTCGTCATTCCTACCATCTGGGGTCAGTTGCACCACTGTGGCAGTGCCTCCCTGCCCCCTGGCAGTGGGTGAGCCCGCCCCCCACACCACCACCACGCACCGTGGGAAACACACACACACACACACACACACACACACACACACACACACACACACACACACACACACACACACACACACACACACACACAGGACCAGGGAGGACCTAGAGTAGTAGTAGCAGTGATATACAATCCTCCACCAAATGACAGAAGACCCAGGCAAGAGTATGACAACAACAACAACATAGCAGTTAACACTATAATTGAAAATGCAGCCTCTGCTGCCTGTAGAAATAGATCCCATCTGCTCATCATGGGGGACTTCAATCACGGAAGGATAGACTGGGGAGAACAAGGAACCGCATGGAGGCGAGGAAACATGGAGAGCCAAACTAATGGAGATGGCGACAAGAAACTTTCTAAGCCAACATGTCAGGGAGCCCACAAGGATGAGAGGAAACGATGAACCAGCGAGACTCGACCTAGTCTTCACTCTGAACGACTCCGACATAAGAGAAATAGGTTTTGAGGCCCCAGTAGGAATGAGCGACCACAGTGTACTGGCGTTTGAGTACCTGGTTGAAGAAGGGTTATTGAACTCGAGGAGGGATACTGAAAACAAAAGGTTGGTATTCCGTACGGGAAACTATGAGGAGATAACAATATTCCCAACAGAAATAGCATGGGAAACAGAGCTCAGGGGAAAGACGGCCCAAGACATGATGGACTACATCACGCAGAAATACAAGGATGCAGCAAACAAGTTTGTCCCAGCCCAAAAGGAAGACAACGAAATGAAGATGAGACACCCATGGTTTAATCAGAGATGTAGGCTAGCTAAGCAGCAAAGTAATAGGGCGTGGAGAAACTATAGGAATAACAGAACACCTGAGAGCAGAGGAAGATACCAGAGTGCCAGGAATGAATATGTCAGGATGAGAAGAGAGGCAGAAAGACAATACGAAAATGACATCGCAAGCAAAGACTCAACCTAAATTGCTGCACAGCCACATCAGGAGAAAAACAACAGTAAAGGAACAGGTAATGAAATTAAGGCCAAGGGAAGACGGATTCACTACAAGCGACAATGAAGTGTGTGAGGAACTGAATAAGAGGTCTTAGAATATGAGAACTGAATAATTCCAGGAGGTCTTCACCTTAGAGCAAGGAGAAATTCCAGAGATAAGAGAGGGAATAGTTAACCAGGAACCACTGGAAGAGTTTGAGATTACCAGTGAGGAAGTAAGGAAGTTGTTACTAGAGTTGGATGTGATAAAGGCTATAGGCCCAGATGGAATCTCCCCATGGATACTTAAGGAAGAAGCAGAAGAGCTGTGCTTGCCACTCTCCATAGTGTATAATAAATCACTGGCAACAGGGGAACTGCCAGAAATTTGGAAAGTAGCTAATGTAGTCCCGATATATAAGAAAGGGGATAGACAGAAGGCACTGAACAACAGGCCAGTGTCCCTAACCTGCATACCATGCAAGCTGATGGAGAAGATTGTGCGAAGAAAGCTAGTGGAACATCTGGAGAGAAAGAACTTTGTAACACAGCATCAACATGGGTTCAGGGATGGCAAGTCCTGCCTCACAGGATTAATTGAATTCTACGATCAGGCAAGAAAGAGAGGGGTGGGCAGACTGCACATTTTTGGATTGCCAGAAAGCCTTTGATAGAGTACCACACAAGAGGCTAGTGAATAAGCTGGAGATTCAGGCTTGAATGAAAGGGAAGGTACTCCATTGGATAAAGGAATACCTAAGCAACAGAAGGCAACGAGTCAGTGTGAGGGGTGAGGTCTCAGATTGGCAAGACGTTACAAGTGGAGTCCCGCAGGGGTCAGTCCTTGGAACTATACTGCTTCTGATATATGTAAATGATCTCCCAGAGGGCATAGATTCGTTTCTCTCAATGTTTGCTGATGACGCAAAAATTATGAGGAGGATTGAAACAGAGGATGATAGTAGGAGGCTACAAGATGACCTGGACGAGTTGAATGAATGGTCCAACAAATGGCTGCTCAAGTTCAACCCGAGTAAATGCAAAGTAATGAAACTAGGCGGCGGAAATAGAAGGCCAGA